TTCTTGACTTTCTCCAGCTCATGAATCGCCTTTCCTCCCTCGGCAATCTGCTCCGTCAGGTCGGAAATCTCCTCTGTGGGAGCCAAGAGCAACGGCCTGGTCAGGCACAGAGCCAGGTGGGAAGGGCCCTGCCACACCAAGGGGACAGGCATCTCTGCAGAGCTGCAGGCACAGCCCCGTGTGCAGCAGCGGGGAGAGGTGGAGAGTCAGAAAGCCCTGCCAGCAGCAGAGGGCCAGGGACTTACGCTGCAGGTTCTTGTTCTCGCGCTTGAGCGTCTCCAGGTGGTCCAAGGACTCCTCATAGGCATTCTTCATCTTGAACAGCTCGGTGCTGAGAGAGCGAGACTCCTTCTGGGAGGCTTCCAGCTCAGCCTGCGTCTCCTCATACTTCTGCTTCCACTCGGCCAGGATCTGCAGAGAAATGGGGCCTGAGTGTGGATGTGGCAACCAGGAGGGGCTGCCCTGCTCCCGAGCCCCAGGCCTGCAGCCCAACACACCTTGTCAAAGTTCCTCTGCTTCTTATCCAGAGCTGCACAGGCAGCGTTTGAGCGCTCCACGTCAATCATCAAGTCCTCCACTTCATTCTGCAGCCTCTGCTTGGTCTTTTCCAGGGAAGCACATTTGGCATTGACGGCTTCAACGTGTTCCTCTGCATCCTGCAGCCGCTGTGCCAGCTTCTTCCTGGCAGGAGATAAGCACAGCTCCAGAGAAGGGAGGCAAGTGTGCATTGTCAAGGAGAGGGCACTTGGCCACTTCAGGGCCTTTGAGCCTAGCACTTGTCAGGTGTTTTTTCTGTCCCAAGGCTGCAAGCAGCCTGAAAGGTCCTAGCACCTCCTGAGTAGTTGGCCTCTCTTAGCTTTTCTAGCCCTAAAGGCAATGTTTCTGATTCCAGTCTTCACTTTTCCTCTCAGTCCCTCTCTCTCATCTACCACAAAGACAGTCCTGTCCCTATCCTATCCCACTATCCAAGCCCCGAACTTCCAATTTCCCTTAAGATCCTCAGTCTTCTCCAGCCCCTTGACATCCCACTCCCCACATACTTGGCCTCCTCCAGCTCCTCGGTGCGCTGAATCGCGTCCGTCTCGTATTTGGTTCTCCACTGGGCCACTTCGCTGTTGGCCTTGGACAGGGCACGCTGCAGCTCCCCCTTGGCTTCCTGCTCCTCCTCATACTGTTCCCGGAGCAAGTCACAGTCGTGGCGAGCAGACTGCAAGGCGTGGGCCAGGGCGTTCTTGGCCTGGGGGGAGAGTGGGATTGGTATCATTAATTACCTGTGAGAAAGTAGAATGTTAACTTAGGCAAAGTTGTTGAAAACTCTTTGAATTTAACATTTAATGTCAGCCCAAGGAAAAAAGGTATATTGATTCCAAGTTTTGAGTAGGTTTTAATTACTTCACTCATAAGTGTCTAGTCTGTTTCCTTGATGTATTAGCTATAAATGACAACTATGAATCTCTTGTTGGATCCTTTTAAATATATTCTAAAATTTCAGCTTTCATTACAGAAAAGCAAAATTAAGAAGCGCAGTTTTTTAGATACATCTCAGCCTTAAACATAAAGATATCTTTCCCTGTCTCAGCTTCAGGTTGGAAAAAATGCCCTCCTCAGCTTTTCTTCCCACTCTAGAGAGGGAAGTGGCAAAAGTATCCATGTTGTTTGAAACCTCACAAATTAAGATAACATGGCTAATCTATGTGTAGGAAATATCCTGAAAGAAAATGGAATTTGAATCCCAAGTCAAAGCCCCTCCAGGAAGTAACTTTACCTTTATTTCTTCCTCCAAATGTCTTTTTAGTTCCTCAATCTGTTGAGTAAATGCCTGTTTGCCTCTGGATAGCTGAGATATCAAAGCATCTTTTTCATCCACCTGGCGTGAATATTCACCTTGGGAAATTTTATAGATACACTGTCATTTAAAAGGTAATACTAAACCCCTGTGCCTTTAAAGCACTGCGTGTCCCTTTACAGAGTATTAGACAACTTTGAGTCAAATATCACTACTTTTCTTGTCAACGTTGGTTACAGACTCTCCCATTGTGGAGGGCTGTGGGGACTGTTACCTGCTTCTGTCTGCAGACGAGCTCTTTGAGCATTAAGGTCATTGATCATGCGCTGATGCTCCTCTTCCTTTGTCTTAATCTCACTCAGCTGGTCTTCTAGTGTGCGACACATCTTCTCCAGGTTTGCCTAGAGAGCAAATGCATGTATGGAAGGAACATCTCAAACTATATCATTACTAAATACAAAAGGCCTGTGTCTGATAGCACAGTGTAATCAAAAGGTTCAAAATCAGGTATCAGGTCACACATCGTAGGGTAGTAACCTGACAGAAACTCCTTACCTTAGCCTTGGAGACAGACTCCATGTTACTGGCCAGGTCGTCAATCTCCATCTTCAGCTCACTCTTCTCCTTCTCCAGCTTCTGCTTCACGCGTTGCAGGTTGTCGATCTGCTCCCCCAGCTCAGCTGTGCTGTCCGCGTGCTTCTTGCGCAGGGCGGCAGCCGTGGCTTCGTGCTGCAGCGTGGCCTCCTCCAGGTCACGGCGCATCTTCGGGACCTCTGCCTCCCGCTTCTTTTTCATATCAATCTGAGCTGCAGTAGCTCCTCCTGCTTCTTCCAGGCGCTCGCTGATCTCCTCCAGCTCCCTGGACAGGTCAGCCCGATGCTTCTCTGCTTTGGCCCGAGAGGTTCGCTCGGCCTCAATTTCCTCCTCCAGCTCCTCAATACGAGCCTGGGGAACAGCAGCAACAACCCTTCACGCCCAGGCCCTCCTCCCACCTGACCCCACCCTGGCAGACAGAGAGCAGAAGGAGCAGAGACTTGCCTGCAGCTCCTTGATCTTCTTCTGTAACTGCATGCCCAGGGCTTGCTCATCTTCGATTTTGCTCTGGATCTGGCTGATCTCAAAGTCTTTCCTTGGGGCAAAGCAAACCCTCTTAGTGCCGCAACAAAACCACCCAAGGTCAAGACCAGCCCGGCCCTCAGGGGCCCCACAGCCACACTTACTTCTTCAGTTTCTCATCCAGCTGCTGCTTATCATTTTCCAAATCCATGATGCTGTCATTGGCCAGCTTCAGGTCTCCTTCAAGTTTCCTCTTAGCTCTCTCAAGGTCCACACGCAGTTTCTTCTCCTGCTCCAGGGACCCTTCCAGCTAAAACAAACAAGAGCTTCAGTGCTCTACTGGCCACGCTTCCCTCTACAAAGTTTTCCTGTGCATTGAGCTACATGTGCTTACATCGTCTACTTGCTGCTCCAGCTTGGCCTTAGCTTTGGACAGAGTGTTGACTTTGTCCTCCTCTGCCTGCAGGTCATCCAGCGTCTGCTGATGGGCCTCTTGGAGGGCTTTCTTCTCTTTGGTCAGCTTGGCAATGGTCTCGTCCAGGGCTGCCATCTCCTCTGTGAGGTTTTTCACCTTTGAGAAGAAGGGAGCAAGTGCAGATAAAATATGTTGTTTAAAACTTTATACCATACAACAAAAGAGACGCCTTTTCTGGAGTGATAGTGACATCTTCTGCCTCAGACCTTGTTTTCAGTGGCATGCTTTTCCTTCTCAACCTTGGCCAGTGTTAGCTCAAGGTCATCAATATCTTTCTTCAGCTCTGAACATTCATCCTCCAGTTTCCTCTTCTTGGCTGTCAGCTCAGCATTAATTTCCTCCTCATCCTCAGCCCTTTCAGTCACTTCTTTAACTTTGGCTTCCAGCTGGATTTTGGTTTTGATGAGCTGGTCACACCTTTCCTCAGCATCAGCCAAGCTGTCTGCTTCCTGGTGGGAAGATACGGATTTTCCTTTTTTGTTTTCTGAACTTCTCTGTATAAGTGTGTGTTAAAACGCTTTAAATATTATTAATTTTACCACCATGTAACATTGTTTGAAGGGGAACTATTATAGCAAATCAAGATTAGAGATGCAACAAGTACAATGTTCAAAAAACCCAAAACCTTCTACTCCATTATACATTTTGTATATGATCTTGCTTTATACCAGTTATTCTAAAGCATTCATAGTTATTTTGTGCAATTAATAACTGACAAAAGAAGAAACACACACACCCAAAGATGTCATGACTTCTTCTTGGAAACAAGAACTCTGTGTCTATATATTTGAAGATGAAGGAGAAATTTGAATCTGTATTTCCCAAGTACTGAGTTATTAAGCACTAGTTATTAAGCAAGAGGCAAATGGCTTTTCCTGCACATGACTTGCCTTTATGCTCCAAAATGAATTAATTGTTGCACATCCTGGTGAGATGGAAATGAGCCCTGCAGGACTCACTGGCTCAGAGCGAGTTGAGGGTTTGGGCAGAACTTTGTTCTGAGTATTTCATGTTGGCCAGCTCTGTCTGCCCCATTCCTCACTAGGCAAGCGCATGGGCTCCCACTTGGAGCCCCCTTCTTCTTTGCACTGGCTCACTATTCTGCTGCCAGACATTTGTTTCCTAAACTTCACATAGAGATGATGGATAATTCACCACATACCTGACATTAGGATTCTATAGTCTGACCCTCTACTTAGTAAAGACACCCTGAAGACTCCTTTTCTGGTGATACTCACTGCCTGCACTTGGAGCTGCAGGTCGTTTTTCTCCTGCAGCAGGACCACCATTTTCTCCTCCAGCTCCTTCCTCTTGGCCTCAGACTTTGCAAGCTCCTCCTTGGTTTTCTCAAACTCCTCCTTCATGTTGGCCATCTCCTTCTCAGACTCTGCACTCTTCAGCAAGGGCTTGATCTTGAAGAACAGCTTCATCCAGGGCCAGTGCTTGACGTTCATGAAGGCCCGAACGTTGTACTGGATGCAGAAGATGGACTCCCTGAAGCAGAAAATATACATTGAATATTTTCAGTATGACAAGTGTCAACACTTCCCTCCAAGTACAGTGACTTTAACAGAAGATGAGGAATGTCTACCTCCTCTCCACCATTCTCTGGTACTCCACTCTCATCAGGAAGCCCCTGCACATGGCCTGTGTGCGGGTGATGAGCTGTGCCAGCTTCTCATCCCTCATCTCCTCCAGGAGCCCCAGCAGCCCAGCTTTGAAGAACACCTGGAGAGGGAGTGTTGCAGCAGGTCACTGACAGGTAGAGCAAAGCACAGGCACAGGGCAAGTGAGTCAGGGAGGGTTTGTACCTTGGTGTGTCCAAATTTGTACTGGGTGTGATCCACGTCAATTGACCCAAGAAGCTTCTCAGAAGCCTTCTTGCTATCAATGAACTGTCCCTCTGGGATGGCACTGGCATTAAGCACCTTGTATCTGTGAAAAGAGACAGGAACATAAGGCTGCTTTTTCCCAACCAACACACACCAGTTGCTGAACCCTAACAGCTCCACAGAGCTGACAACTGAGTCCAGCCTGAATGAGATGAACCAACATTGCTCCAATGATGCTGAGAAGAGCAGAGCTCTCACCTCTGCTTGAAGTCAGCGTAGAGAACCCTGCTGGGGAATCCTTTCCTGCAAATTCGGATCCCTTCCAGCACTCCGTTGCACCGCAGCTGGTGCAGCACCAGCTCATGCTCCATGGCACCTGCAGTTCAGAGCAGAAATGAACACCACGACTCCCAGTGCCTGGGAATGGCTGTATCAGAGCAAGTCCTCTTTCTGCTTGAGCATCTTACCAGGTGTTTTTGTTTCATTTGGGATGATGCAACGGACAAAGTGGGGGTGAGTGCTCCGAAGATTGGTCATCAGCTTGTTTAAGTTCTCCTAGAGGGATCAGTTAGTAATGTGAGCTTCCTATGTCCAGGGTTTGATGCATCAAGCCATGGTAATGACTTTACAACTTTTCAAAATTAGTTGGGTCTCCCTACACTTAGGCAAAGCCTAAAGCAAGTATTTCTTCTGTTTGAAGATACTGGACATCATTCCAGTGGAAAATAATATACAATTTCACACTTTCATACAAATAGATAACTTACAGGTTTTTCATATTTTACCTTCTAAAGTCAATAAACTTAAGTTAAAAAAGTGAGGGGTTTTTTTTCAAATCATATAAATATCTCATTGCAGAATGCTTATAAGATGACTCTGAATAAAAATATAAAAATCAGAGTGGTCAGGGTTGGAAGAGACCTCTGAAGATCATCTAGTCCAACCCCCCAAATAGAGCAAGATCAACTACAGTAGCTCACACAGGAACATGTTCAGATGGGTTTTGAATGTCTCCAGAGAAGGAGACTCCATATTCACTTTGGGCAGTCTGTTCCAGTGCTCTGTTACCCTCATAGTAAATTTCCTTATGTTTAGCTTGAATCTCCTGTGCTCTAGCTTGTGCGCATTGCTCCTTGTCATGTCATTGGACACTGCATTGAAACTGATACTGGAAAACCTTATGTGGAATTTCCAAAGAATTTATCCCCATTAAAATAATGCAAAATAGCCCTTTCAAATGTAATATTAACCAGCCCCCTTTCATTGGATTACAAATAGATAATCAATGCATTCCTGTACCCGGAAGAGAGCTGAGACAGTCTGGAAAGAAGAACCCTTCTTTTTGCCACCCTTCTTGCCACCTCCAGATTCTGTAAATGGAAGAAAATAAGAGCATTAAAATACGTATTAAATTAGAGTATTAAATAAGAGTATTAAATTTCCTATTGGAGACTACAGAACACAGAACAGCTTTAAATGTTTGGGGTTTGCTTCTTTAGTTCTGTATCATCGTCCCACATCAAAAATGCAATTTCCATGGAGCTGACCTGCATCTGCTCCACCATAATTGGCAAAGAGTAAGGCCAGGGTCTTCACTGATGATTTCTGGTACAACCCAATGACAGTTTCATTCAGAGGGTCCTTGTTCTTCTCCAGCCAGCCAGAGATGTTGTAGTCCACTGTGCCAGCATAGTGCACCAGGGAGAAGTGGGCCTCAACCTTGCCTTTGGCAGGTTTGGGCTTCTGGAAGTTGTTGGACTTGCCCAGATGTTGGTCATAGAGCTTGTTCTTGAAAGAGGTGTCAGTTGCCTTGGGGAACATGCACTCCTCTTCCAGGATGGAGAAGATGCCCATGGGCTGGAAGGCATGACAAAGACAAGATGCAGAAACAATTAGAAAGAAGATGTTCCTTGGTTGGAAAGTTGCTGGAGTTAGAAGAAAAGAACTGTTCCCATGCATTTCATGACAATAATTAACTAAGGCTCAGCTGTGCTACTGTTTCACTTGAACGTATGTAAATACCCTTGCCTATGAAAAAATTATTACATTGGAAAATACTGTCGTCTACATTAAACTTCTTTACTGATGAGGACTTAGAGAACGTGACAGTCTTTTATAACTTCTTTTAATAATCTGGAAATGAATACTCTCACCAGAAGTCCTGATATCTAAGTGTGATCTCCAAAAACACTTCCCCAGGGTATATACATGAAAAAAACAGAATATTCTTACATGCTTCTTCAGTATGTCTGTTGGCAAGTATGGGAAATCCAACATATAATCTCCTTCAACACAAATAATACCTTCTCAATCAGCTCAATGCAGGCAGCCAGGTCCATCCCAAAGTCAATGAATGTCCATTCAATTCCTTCTTTCTTGTACTCCTCCTGCTCCAGCACGAACATGTGATGGTTGAAGAACTGTTGCAGTTTCTCATTGGTGAAGTTGATGCACAGCTGCTCAAAGCTGTTGAACTGCCAGACATAAAAGGATGTGACATTATCAGGATTCAGCAATAACATCAAGGCGCTTTCTTGTGCAATCCTGTTTCATCATGGGTGATTTTAAATACAAGGCCTCTTCCTGTGTAGTTTTGCTATGCTATCTCTCTAGGATTGGCTTTACCTTCAGACAGGTTTCAAATTCAGTGTAATTAGGAGATTAGTTCTGGTTTTCGTTTGTTTGTTTTGGGTTTTGTTTTTTTTCAGGATTAAAAAAAGGTGATTCCAAAAGCCCTGCAAGTAAGTGTTAAAAGATACAACTTCTATAAAACACATTGCAAAATTCCCTTCATTCTCAATTGACCTTTTATGAAAATGCTAGGAAAACTGTGCTCCTTACATCAAAGATCTCAAAGCCAGCAATGTCCAGGACACCAATGAAGTACTGTCTGGGCTGCTTGGTATCCAGCTGTTGGTTAATACGAACAACCATCCACAAGAACATCTTCTCATAGACAGCCTTTGCCAGAGCACCCACTGAATTGTTCACCTAGAGCAAGGAGAAAGATTTGGAAATTAATATACACATAGGAGGACAATCAACAGGAACCATCAAAGCATGTTCCAGGCTACCACTTTTTTTCCTACCTGCTGCACAGTTTGCCCCTTGGTCACATATTCATTCCCCACCTTGACTCGAGGGTAGCAGAGAGCCTTGAGCAGGTCTGCTGAGTTCAGACCCATTAGGTAGGCAGTCTTGTCAGCCACTGAATACCAGAAAAGAGTAAGAGACAAATAAATACTGGACAATTCCTAAAATTTTTAGCCTGTTACTCAAAAGTAATAGCAATGTCCACTGTTACAACACTGCACAAAATTATCTGAGTCCAAACTACAAAGCTAATTTCTTGCTATCTTCAGGATTCAGACTCTACAGCACTTCCTGCCCTTCAGTTTCTACAAATCTTCAAGACAATTCATTGCTGTCATCCTTTTTCAAGCATGAATATGAGACTCCCTGCTTTCTTTCTAGTCTTATACCAAAATTATTCAACACGCAGAGACCTGGAGAACCAATCCATAAGATGGGCCAGGGATCAGAGAATCAAATTTACAGCTTGATGGAGTCTAGAAGAAACATTACTTAGTTGTCACTTGCTTAAGCTATAGTCTTTGTCTTGTCTAAAAGAAGTATCTTTTCAAAACTTATTTATTTATTAAAAGGTCACTTGCTAACGACCTTCTGTGCCATCAGGCTCTGCCTGCTCCTCTCGTTGCTTCTGCTTGAACTTCAAGTTCCCATGGTGCATGACAGCCCCTGTCAGCTTGTAGATGGCTGTTTTCTCATCAGCAGTGAAGCCCAGGATGTCAATGGCACTCTGACAACAAGAAACAGTAAATGTATTTGTGCCAGGGTTCCTCTCCGTCATATGACCTGTTTGGTTAAGTTACTTACATCTGTAGCCATCAGCTCCTCCTTGTCATCAATGCTGGGAACAGTGATCTCACCTTGACTCACAAAGTGGAAATCATAAGGGTTGGTGGTGATGAGGAGCATGTCTGAAAGTTAAAAATGGAAAAATCAGAGTAACTTGAGCTTTCCAGATGACACAATGGATATTGTCCAGTTATATACTTTCAAAAAAGTTAGTGATCTACTTACCAATTAGCTCGGGCTTCTTGTTGGAAGTGACCTGATAAAAGATGTGGTAGCTTCTTTCTGCCTTGAGCTGGAAAGGGACTCTGGACTTCTCCAGCAGATCTGGCAAGGAAGGCAGGAAGAGTCAGGCACAAGGCCACACGTGGAGGTGGGAACTGGGGAAGGAATGGGATCAGGCCAGAGGAGCCTCTTACAGGTTTCAATGTCAGCAGAAGCCAGTTTGCCTGTAGCTCCAAAGTGGATTCTGATGAATTTGCCCTGTTCAGCAGAAGAAGCAGCATTTCAGCCTGAGATTCAGAGGTTCTGCCCAAATGCAGAGATTTTTCCCCAAGCAGCAACTCACAAAGCGTGAGGAGTTGTCGTTCCTCACGGTCTTGGCGTTCCCAAAGGCCTCCAGCAGCGGGTTGGCGCTGATGATTTGATCCTCAAGCGTTCCCTGCAGGACCATAATTATTGCTGCCTCCTTGCCAAAACCATGTCAGGAACACAGGAAAGCTTTGATTCAAGCCAGTCTCTGATCATTTACCTGCATTTTGCCAGACTGCTCCTCCTTCTTCTTCTCCCCACTGGCTGCAATTGTTGCAAAGTACTGGATGACACGCTTGGTGTTCACAGTCTTCCCGGCACCGGATTCTCCGCTGCCAAAGGCAAGAGAAGCAGAGAGCGTGTGGTCAGGCAGGAGATCCCCTGGCACTGGGCAGCCCCACAGGGACCTGAGCAGGGAGCTACGTACGTGATCAGGATCGACTGGTTCTCGCGATCTGCGGAGGAGGCAGAAATAAGAAAGATTTTACTCGTGCTCATGTATCACAAAGGACTCAAAAACTAAGAAAATTATGAACCAAAACTCCCAGAGAGTGCAGGGACAGAATAAACCCAGGATTATTTTTCTGCTCCCGACAGTACTTCAGGTATTATCAACTGAATTACTAAAAACATCACTTCCGAGTACCTTTTCTAGTATAATGCCTTTCAGGATATTGTCTTCATATCAGCCTAGTTATTTCTCTCTTCTAGAGAAGTAAATGCAGTGAAATGTAATGCTGAGGTTGGGTTTTGGCAGCATCAAGCTCAAGCTTTCCCCGGTTATCTTACAGAAATTTCATGGTGTCATGAACAACAGAAAATTCTGACAAACCTCTTCCACTATTTTTCATCTTTTTTTTTTTTCTTCTTTTTTATCCCCTATATGTATACTGAAATTACATAATTCTGAGATCATACATAGAAAAGGTTAATATTTTTCTCTATTTCTTTTTTCTCTATCATTTTTCTTTTCAGATCCTATCTGTTCTTTTTCCTGTCCTACCTAAAAACAGGAAAAGAAGATCTAAAGTCCTTCAAAACTTTGATTTCAATGCACACATGGGCAAGAAAAAAGTAAGAGGTGGAAGGTAAAGGATTTATGTTTTCCTTGACATTGTTTTCTGAGCTTTACTTTTCACTTTAAGGTGCAATGAATTTACAGTTATATAGATGACAGTTACAGAGCGTTAAAGGATGTTTGTACTTTTAACACCCTGTCATCTTTTCCATCATTAAGGCCATTTGCATAATAATCAAGTGAAGCTTATGTACCTCTTCAATGCAGAGATGTTCTGGTTTACTTTTTAGCACAGATGCTTGCAAATTTCAATTGACTGTACACACTCAGTAGATGATACACTATGGTACTCTGTCCTCTCCAGCTGAGGCTAGTTTGGCAACTGATACATAATTCTATGCATATATCAAGACCCCATAACAAAGTGTACACCAGAAAATAGGTGCCTTCTTTCCAGGGAGTTTACTCCTAGATTATTTTCATTAACTCCAGGTCTGTACAGATTCCAGTGGGAACACAGACACTTAGTTCACACAGATCAATACAGTTCAGCACGTTAATATTTCATTAATTTAGCACACACACAATATTTTAAGTGCTGCACCATATTTCCAGAGAATACATATTGCTCTACAGTTAGCTCATGACATTTCAAAGGAAATCAAGCACTCACCAGTCAGCATGAACTGATAGGCGTTGTCAGAGATGGAGAAGATGTGTGGAGGGGCCTCCTGGCGCTTCTTGCCTCGGTAGGCCAACACCACCTCCGGGTTGTACACCGGCAGCCACTTGTAGGGGTTGATGGTGACACAGAAGAGACCTGAGTAGGTCTGCAGGAAGGGAGACAGCACGTTGGCTTCCACTGAGCCTGGCAGAGCAGTTCCTGCTGGCTGCCCAAGGGAAGGTGCTGCTGGTACTTACGTAGATCATCCAGGCTGCATAACGCTCTTTGAGGTTGTACAGCACAGCGGGTTCATGGAGGTGGGTCATCATGGCCATGTCCTCGATTTTATCATACTTGGGGGGGTTCATGGAGAAGATCTGATCGTCTTTGACGGTCAAGGTCTGCCAAGGAAACAAAAGATCCATGTATGCCAGTTAAGAGCTGAGACTGGGAATCAAATGGTGACCTTCAATCCTGGTTTTCACTCACCTCTCCCCCTTCAGTCTTGACAGTGACCTTCCCGGCCTCCCTGCTCTGGATTGTCCCTTTCACAAAGGATTCCTTAGGATGCACCACAAAGACAGATGACTTGGCATCAAAAGGCTTGTTCTGGGCTGCAATTCTCTCCTTCTCTGACTTGCGGAGGTAAGGAGCTGCCTCCCCAAAAACAGCCATCTCAGCATCTCCAGAGGCCATGGCTGCGCTCTATCGAAAGCACGTCAGCAGAGGTGTCTGGTGGAGGAAAAAAAAGTTTGTAGAAGACAGAGAAGAAAAATATAATGTATATCAGTGAGAAAACTCCTCCCTCTTTAGCTAATAAGTTTCTAGGTATTTTCTCAAAATCTCTTAAAAGTAAGCACTGAAATCCATTTTGATTTGAACTTAAATGTACCTAAGTCCCACTCCAGAGTGAGACTCAATCTTCTGAAACAGGTGGGCCTTGTGACAGTAAACAGAACATCTTCTGAATATTGACTACAGTTTGGTAACTCACCTTGATGTATTCTGACCAGATTTGAGGTTTTCACATAAAAGAATCTACAGCCAGAGAATATCACTTGCTGCTCAAATCCTCGATTACAACCGATGAATCTTCAACAGAGTACTTGTAAAAAGTATTACCTTGTGTGCTAAAAATGAAAACTCACTTCACTTCTTAAATCCTCTCTATTTTTCAATAGTCTGGCCTAAGCAAAGTCTGCAGAAATATAAGAGACTTCACAAAAACAGCTCATGCAGCTTTATAGAAATCCTGTCTTGGGCTGTAGTTTAGGAGTGCATTATTCAGGCTGTTGTCTTTGGAGAAAGGCTTATAACCTGTAAATTAGCCAAACTTGTAAAATAGGAGTGGCAGTTGTTTCTTATTGCTGCATAGAATTCCAGAGCCAAATTTTAGAATTAAAATAGAGATATGCATTGAATTTATCCTGCAAAGTTTTGTTTGCATGAGCAAACACATATCTTTCCTCATGGAAATAGTTGCTAGAGGCAGGAGAAATGGAATGGGATGTTGCAAAGATATTGTCCTCTTTCTTCAAGCTCACAAAATGCATGCACTTACCTTGAAGCCTTCTGTGGAGACAGCCCAGACTTATCCCTTGGAGATTTTATAGTGTCTGGTCTGCAGATGCTGTAGATACTCCCTCTTTCTTCGGTCATAACATTTCTGGCAACCCTTCTTTGGTAAAGCATTGTTTGGCAAACTAAGGGCATAATTGTCATTGGATTTGAATGATATAATTAGAACATTTTTACATCTTACTATGTGAATACATCTATAAATAATTTGTCAAGAGTGTTAAGGAGAGAATCTAGACGACTCAAGGCACTTAGAGAACTTGGATACAGGGACTTATGGATCCTATTGCTGGCTTTCCCAGTGATTTGCTCCTTGATCCATGGTAGTTTCCTTGGTATGTTTATATCACAACTTTACAGTCATGCAATGGGAATGACAATGTCTATAATGCTTTAGGGACACATACATTGAGAGGAATGGGAAAAACTTGTCCAAAAAAACAGCAAATAATTGTTGTTAAGAGTCAATTTTCACTGGTATTTTTTAAAAAGCAGAAAGTCTAAGTATATTATAGCTGAGGTTTCTGTATAGGACACTCTCAATATGTTAAGAGTTGGAATACAGTGAGTTGGAAGCCTCCCAAGTAATGGGAGACTCTACTTTGAAATGGAGCTCTTGAATAGATTCTTGAGCTGTTATATGAGATATCAAATTGAAGTGTATTCTTGTGCATGCATAGATAGTATATGGGTTTGTGCATATTTTATTTTAAGTGCATTTTTTTTAAGTGATTCCCAAAGAACCTCTGCTTTCTCACTGTTCACTCTCTGAAGCTTTAGCTTTGCATTTGATGTAAGCTTGCTCCTGTTATTGTCTGTATAATTAGCAATTTCCATCTATCAAATCTGAAGTTCCAGAGACTCCCACAGCCCATCCCTTCCCCAACAACTCCCTAGTATAACATGCCTTACTTACCCTGCCATGCTTGTACACAGAGCCACAGAGATCACCTCAGCATATAGTTCCAGATATTATCCATTCTGGTAAGTCCTTATTCAAGCACTGCTGTGCCATCAGAATATGCCTGCAGCATCAGACAATGCCCTGTGCTGTAGGAGCCCCTGCCAAGAGTGCTCTCACACTGCAGCACCCACATTTTGGGCCCCCAGATTGGAATCCAAATCCAGAGCTCACTACATAAGTTAAAGTGACAGCTGAATATCTCAGAAGGGTAATCTTTTCACATGGATCAGGAAGAAGAGCTACTCATTACCAGAGGACTAGTGTGGTAATTTTGAATTCTTGTCTAGTGCAGTGCAGTAACAGGGAGGGCATTTAATGTCTTATTTGATCAAACAACCTTCACCAAATAATTCTTCACCTAGGAATAGAAGGCTGCCAAATTTCCCTGCATGTTCAGCTACCACTCACAGATCCTTGAAGAAAGATGAGGCATTCTGTTATTTGGAACATGGACCAACAACGGCCTTCTCTTCCTTCTTGGTTGAACAGTAGGCTCATATCCAACAGATTGCATGCAAGAGAGGTGGAAATTGTGCAGCTAAATTCCTTCCAGCTCCTGCCATGTCCACCACTGTCCTGTGTTAACATTTCTCCATGCTTATGCTGTTCAGGGAATTCAAGTCCCTCACGTTTCCTGCTTGAGGCCTGTCACCAAGCCTCTCCTCATCTCTCAACAGCTGTCCTCTCAGGATAGTAACAGCAGCTGCAATTAAGAGAGAACTACCAGACTGCTAAAGCAATGAATGTAACACCAATAGGAGACCACAACTACTCCATGCAGAAAGGGAAAATGCTATTTTGGGTCGTTGTCTCGAAACTGTATTTATGGACATTGTCAGCAAGTGATTGATGAAACTACTAGTTAGAGTGTGAAGGAAAAGCAGCTGTTTCAAATACAGCTGTGAATGTAGCTGAAAGTAAAGCTGTTTAAGAACTGACCCATGGCAAAACGTGTAATATAACATCCTTAGAGGAGTTAAAATAGCCCCAAAAATCCAATATGATTGTCTTTATAAAGCACATAGCAATAAAGAATCAAAGGGAAGCAGTTCAGTTTTAGTAGACTGAAGACCTCCTAATGATACCATAGTAGAGGTCCAAGACAAATAGACATGCTAATTATCAGAAAAGAACTGATGAAGGGCAACAGTCATAGAAATCATCATAGAAATTCATCATAGAAACCAATCAGATTGGTCAAACATGATTATTTTTCCCTGGGAAATACATATTGGCTGGTCTTGGTTATCTTGTCCTTCACAGCCATAGCAATAAATACCAATAAATACCATTCTGTGATCTTTCAAATAATTAAAGTGAAACTGAGGAGCTTTCAGTTTCACTGATCCTTTTCCTCCCTTTTAAAAAGATGGACATAACATTAGTCTCTTTCCATTCACATGGGACGTGCCTGTCATCATTTTTCACCAATATCAAACACAGGTCTTGCAATTACATGGGCAAACTTCTTCATCATCCTTTGATGAGTCAGACCCAGCCCCATGGATATGAATACATCCAGCTTCCCATAGTAATTTCAGCTCCACTAAGTAGTAGGTTAGGTCTTCCCCACTGTTGGTTATGTCTTTTCTTCTCAAACTCTGTTGGAAGATGCAGACACCTGGAGACAAGCTTGGCCTGTGAAGGCTGATACAGAAAATAAGCTGCATACTGAAGTGCTTCCTCTGTCATATCTCACTAGGTGGGTTCCCACATTCAATGGCAGACACAGATTTCCTCTGAACCCAAACACTATCACCCCAAAATGGCTGGGACAATGACAGACCCTTTCCCAGGAGAGAGAAAAATCATGCAAAATAGACCTACAGTTGTGACTTTTCTAGAAAGAACAACGATACTGGATGGAGTCTGAACTTCTCTGACTTGCTTATAATGAATAACAAAAAACCAAAGCAACAAGAAAAACACCTTGCAGGATATTCAGCTTGCAAATGCTGGTTTTGGCCATGCTGTCATTTTGGTAAGGCCTGCCTGACAGAACAGTTTGCTCTGTAGCCTGTGATGGACACTGAGACAGAGAATGCCCAGCCTCTGCTGGAGCAGCACTTCTGCAGCCCTCTGTGTAAAATGAGAGCTCCCAGGAATGCTAGCACAGAAATGTCAGAACACTTCTCTGTAGCAAAACATCTCATCCCTACATTTCTGCTAGGATGTGGCTGGACACTGAACCCTGGAGATGGTAAGAGCACATTTTCCATATTAAAAGGTTGCTTATCAACTCAGTGTAGATCTGCTAAGATGCATGCTGTCAATGTTATGTGCAGAATGTGCTCAGTCCATGTATTTGATGTGTCATCTGGCTAGGAAATGTGCCCTTAAACTAACATTTCTGATAAATGTGGTTGAAGGAAGGAGACTGAGAGAATTGCTGGAAGCAATGAATTATTTCCCAGGAAGAGCTACTGAGGATCATAACTAATGAGACTTAAAACCTGCAGGCTCAAAAGCAGTGTGGACCATCCATTCTTTACCATGGCAAATGTACAAAAATTTCTGGGTCTACATGTGAGCATTAGTGAAGACAAGCTGATGTCACAGGTTGGCCATGATGGGCCCACAACACCCTTGCTATCCCCTGTCCCTTCTGCTCTGTTCACAAACTAATTTCTGCAGACCTTAAGGCAGTTGTGATTTACCTTCACCATATGTCAAGGGAGGTGAGTGTGTCTGTCCTGGGGGAAGCTTTGATGACCACTTTGTGGCTAAATAGCTTCCTATAGAGTGGTATTCCTGGAAGTCCTCAGAAAGAGTTAACGAACATGAGAGGCAAATAAAAACCACAACCTGGGATTAGAGGATGGGCAGCTTTCAAATGTGCACCACAGGTGCACCATTACTCACACTCCTCCTGTCTCCACAGCTAACACCAGAGGAAGAGATCTGGGCAGCAGGTTCTGGCTAAGAAGGTGACATTTGGGATGCCCTTCCATCAACAACCAAAGCAGCTGATGGGCTCCAGTTACAGACCAGGTGAGTGAGGGAGCTGGGAGACCACTGAGTATAAAAAGATAATTCAAACAGCAAGAGGAGGAATAAAAGGAAGGAAAAGAAAGCAAGGAAGGAGCATACTATTAATCTCTGCAGGCACCTGTAACATAACCTAAGATAAGCTGTACTTGTGAGATCAAGGTCC